GGCACGCCGACATGGCGGCCGGGGGGACGGGGAGGGAGGGGCGGCGAGCGGTCACGTGATCCAGAAACACACGTGACCTCCCCCTTGGCCACGCCCCCCTCCCCTCTTTTCGCCTCAGGGCGGGAAGAGCCTGAGGGGATGGGATGGGGGAAAGGATCCTGGGTGGAATGACATGGGAATGGGGGGTGAACAGAGCCCAGGGAGGGAAGGGGGTGGTGGGTGAGAAGCTGAGCTTGGAGCCCAGAAAGCAGGCGCTGCCCTGGGGTGCGTCAAAGGGTGTGTGTGCAGGGGGGGTTTGTTCCCCCTCTGCTCTGGGGAGGGAGCCCGCCTGGAGCTGGGTGAGGGGACAGGGCATGGGGCTGCTGGGGAGGGCATGGAGCTGATCCCAGGGCTGGGGCAGCTCTGGAGACAGGCTGGGAGAGTTGGGGTGTTCAGCCTGGAGAAGAGAAGGCTCCAGGGAGACCTTAGAGCAGCTTCCAGTGCCTGAAGGGGCTCCAGGAAAGCTGGGGAGGGACTTGGGACAAGGGCAGGGAGGGAGAGGACAAGGGGGAAGGGATTAAAACTGGAAGAGGGAGATTGAGGTGAGACATGAGGAGGGAATTGTTTGGTGTGAGGGTGGTGAGAGCCTGGCCCAGGTTGCCCAGGGAAGCTGTGGCTGCCCCATCCCTGGCAGTGTTGAAGGGCAGGTTGGATGGGGCTTGGAGCAGCCTGGGCTGGTGGGAGGTGTCCCTGCCCATGCAGGGGGTTGAGACTGGATGATCTTTAAGGTCCCTTCCAACCCAAACCACTCCATGATTCCATCACACCGTGCCCACCCGGGTGCAGGAGCCCCCATCCCTCTCCCCCCGAGACCCCCAGACACGTTCCCAGTGTGGCTTTTGCTAAGGGCTGGTTTATTAGAGCTGAGGAGGAGGTGGCAGAGCTGGGCCAGGATCGGGCGGCCCCGCCGGCCTTAGTTCTTGCCGCAGTGGACGTTGCTGCTGGTCTTCTTGCAGTAGCAGACGGCGTTGAAGAAGCGGCAGTAGCAGGTGGCACAGAGGTGACAGCAGGGGAGGTGCTGGCCCAGGCAGGACTCCAGGAGACGGAGACAGCGGCGAGGGGAGCGCTGCTCTCTGCCCTCAGCTTCCAGCTCTGCCGAGACCCCCTGCCCGGGCGAGGAGGAGGAGGGAGAGGGGACAGGGTTGGTGCTGAGCCAGCCGTGGCAGAGAGCCAGGGCGGTGGCTGCTGGAACCTGCTGCTGCCAGCAGTGGGGAGCTCTGTGTCACGCTCAGCTCCAGGCTCGGGCTGTTAAGGATCACCACTGAGCCCCGTGGAGTTGTGGTGGGCACCACTGCCTGTTCCACCATGTGTCAGGGCCTGCATGCACACGTTTATTTCTGCATACACACTCCTCCTTGCCTGGACAGGGGCAGCAGGGTCCAAGCCAGGGAAGATTCAGCACTGCCCAGCAAGCTCCTGCTCTGTGGAGGCTTCCTGGGCTGCCTTGTGGATAATTAATTAACTGGACACTGGAGTGCAGACTTGGACCACCCTCCTTTCAGCCCCCCCTGTGCAGCTCCGGGCAGCTCAGTCCCACCCCTGGCTGCTCCCCAGCAGGTGACAAGCAGATCCTCCTTCCCCAGGGAGGCACAGGGAAGGCTGCTGTGTCCCGAGGCCACCCCCAGCTCTTTGGGGTGTCTGTGGGAAAGCTCAGGGAGCAGTACCTGTGGTTCCACCACGCTGCCTCTCTGCACCAGGTCACCATCAGCTTCTTGGAGCTCCCGGGACATCTGCTCAAACCACAGCCTGGGTGGAGTTCCTGTGAGACATGGAGAGGCTGGACAAGGAGGCTGATGGGGGGTCTGCCCCCCGTTTTTCTCCCCATTTTCATCTGT